GTGAGTGGGGGTTCGGGTCCCACTACGGTTAAAGTTAAGAAGCAGTTACTTGGTGTTTGGGGTTCACCAAGCTCCCCACCAGGAGTCACGTCCCTCGGCCGTCTTCTGATCGTTTGTTCATTGATCAACAGATTTTAAGGTGATGTAACCATAAATGTTTTCACGTACTATTAGATTGTATATTAGAGTTGATACAGTATAGTATATATTGATAGCTAGGTAAGTATTGAGAAGTCATTACGTCTATAAATAATAATATAGACAAACTTTCAACAGAAGATCGTATACTGTTTGCTGTTTTTGGCTCAAATCTTAGCGCCGACAATGTTGAAGTTAGTGTATTTGATGTATTATTCAATATGCTATGATATATTTTCACTCGTTTATACATATATAAAGGCTTGGAGGGATCCAATTGCCGGTCAGAAGAAAGGTATGTGAGGCCCTGATAAAGGAACCTTTAGTGTTTTGTGCTCAATTTCGGGGTGATATTGAGCATTGGAATTAAAAGATTATTCATATCCACTCTCTGTCAAAGCAGTCTAGCGCCATGTCTAATTCGTTGACATGCCGCTTAGACACAGAAATTTGTGCTGCTATTGCTACTGATGGTGAGACTGGACCCCGTGCTTCACAAACATTATTGCATCGTGTGCTTTTCAATATGCCGATAGAAGGCACTTGAAAACTATATGGCAAAATGCAAAGTAAATATATTAAAGGTCCTTAGTTCGCTGTGCTACCTCTAAGCCTATCTAAACATTCTACCACATTTTCTACTGGATTCTTTAGTGGATTTATGCGCTTACGAATAGCCTCTTTATTGGATACTTCACTGGATACTTGACGAACTCACATAACCACACCTTGCGCAATTAGCCTTTCCACACCGGAAATATCGATTCCTACCTGTTAGCGGCTGCTCGTCGAAACGCTTCCTTTGTACCACTGGCCTACACGACGAGGCAGATCTCTAGCAACAATAACACGCCGTGATATTTAGAACGAAAGACAACTTGTAGTCATCTTCGCACTTCGTAGTGATATTTGCGTAAAATCTCTGAGACTTTACCAAATGGAGATGGTTTAATGGGGAGCACAAGGTTGAACAGGATATTATGAGAGCACAGGCATCACTCTAAATGACTGCACTATCATCTTTGACATGCTGTTGCCAAACCTTGTTGAGGTTAGCTGCTTGGATGAATATATCACATACGGTTGTGGCATGTTTTAAGCGACGCTGATAACGTAGTCGTTTTATTGCAATTGAAGCTCAACGACATTAACAAAAGCGTTCACAGCTT